ATTATACGAAGCCGAGAGGAAAATACGACTTAATGACGGAAATATGATATTCTAATTCATAAAAGTCGACCATATTTCGACTGGCGAAATGTTAAAGTCCTTCAAAGGTTACCACGGGAACTCTTATGATCAGAGCCCAGTAACTCATGTAATCCTGGGAAAAGTAATTGTTGTCACGAAACGAACAGTAAATACATGTACCCCTTAAAACTGTGTTGACGTTGAGACCTCAGAAATGGATACCAAGACAGACGATGCCATCACTGTCTGTGAAGTAAGGCATATTTTAAGCAGATGATGATATCGTTTCAGTCCTCCTAGCCTTAGATTAAGATATTACTAAATCTGTTTATAATAAAATGTTGGCCACAAGAGGTAAGTCAAATGACTCCTAATATTGATCATTAAGGACTTAAAACGTCAGCGTTGATAAAGGCCACAACAGGAGCAAAATATGTTCAGTGTTTTCTTCGAGGATAAAGCCTGAATGCCTGATTTATTCAAAATATCATTTAATGTCATTAAAGAAATAAGCAATAGATACCAATTAGCGACGGGTGTAACTGCGAAAAACTTAGAAGTATATATACAGATCATTAAAGCTAAAAGACATTAGGAATTGAAATCACTTTAAATAAGTGAGAAAAAAAACAACTGTTTGAAACAGCAGGACATTTGCCACGAAGCAGCAACTTTACAATCATTGAGGTAGACCTGAGCCAACAACAACAAAATTAAAGAGAAAAATTACTAAATTGGGAAAATCAAACCGTGATTGAAAAGTGTTGTTACTGAATTACAATTATCTTCTATTTCTGGACCGAATCACTTTTTCCGCGTCACATTGATGACTTTGAAATAGCAGGGAGGTCTGGCACGATCTTTACAGCAAACGGCAAACATGAACTTCTCACCGTCTACTTTCAGCCGTGTGTAAACTTAAGTGAGACAATTTCAATCAATTATGTGACAGTTGGTATCTCGAGTCCAGTTTTATTGTTTAAGTAAACGTCGTCAGTTGTTAACTTCGCTAAACAAGTGGCGATTTGACGTTGAAATGTAATCATTGTCCTTGAATACAAGAGTTCTCTACCCCAGTTACTGAAGTAGTTTATAAAACAAAAAGGATACCCTTCGAAAAAGGCTCTTAGATCAGTGTGCGTATGTGTACTGCATGGTTCTGAGACTGTCATAGTTCACTTACCAAAGGAGAGAAGAAGAAACCCGCTGCGAAAACGCTGAGTGAAGATCATTATTGTCCTACGATGTGAGTTCATGAAGTGACGGAGCTACTGCTACACACCTTATATAGCACCAGATAGAAATAATTAATTACGTTTGATAATACACAATTAGAACCGATATTAGACTATATGTGATCTTTTTTAGGCTTAACAGTATTAATTTGTTCGATGTATTTATGAATCGAAGTTTGTTGTTTGCGTCGCTAAGCAATTTCAAGAGAAAAACTTCCTCCTTATTGTGGTTATTTCGACCCCCAATTTAGAAATTCATTCCATGCAACATATTCTCTCGAATATTACCTTTACTCTCAATGACTTTTGTTGAGATAAAAACTGACTTTCCAGAAATAAGCTTAAACATGACTTGATCGGTTGTGTAAAGAATGCAATTCATTATAACTTGAGCAAAAAAATAATTTCTGTGTATGGTTAATTCATTGTAGTTTACTGCTGTTGTTTTTTTTGAGGTATTTTTTGCCGATTTTGTGCAATGACAATTTTGATGAACAACAAAAGGTTGCCAAGGGTCTGTTTGGCTCATGTAATCGGACGGAAACACCACGATTAAAATCCTTTTCTCGCGTAGATAAATTCAGGAATTTTTTTTATTTACGTAAACCAGGGAATAAACGTAAAGTGTTCTATAAGAGCGGTGAAAGTGGTACAGATGCTTATCAAAGAAAATTCAATTACGTTCAACCCAGACTTTCTCTCAATTGCATGGCAAAAAGTACTGTGATACTGTTCGTGTTTTCACAAAGCCGATATACATGCTTCCTGAGTAAGGACCCACGGTTAGTCACAGTCAAGAGAGGCTAATCCTCTCTTGGCACAGTTTATCGGGAAAAGGGGAAAATAGGAAACAAGCTTTTCCTGTGATGTTTTTAACTCTAAGGATAACTGAAATTTTCATTTTACAACCAGGTTAATGTTATTTAGAATTATCAAACGTTTCGTTATGAAAGATGTTTAGGTTGTCATAGTTATTCTCACAAGATTAACACAGCGTGATAATTTTAAGAGGCATTGTTAACATCAGTCGTAGAGTAAGGGCAGAGATACTAAGGACACTATCGCTTGGGAGAAAAAATAAGTTGATGACCGCGGGTTTCATATGGATATGAGTTGCTCAGCTCATGGTTTCGTAATTAGCATGGCTCCATTGCTCAAATTACTGAGGATCCACCTTAAAAAAAGATTACATCGTGGTAGTGAGTGACTGTGTTTGTTCCCAGATTAAATTTGTTCTAATTTTAAGATTAATGGCGATGTTTTATTCAGTTTCCTTTTAAGGCTGCCAGTATATTGAGTACTCAATCGCTTTACACTTATTTTCTCTTCACAGGTGGTTTGCATGGTCTCGGGCGAGTAAAAAATCAAAGCTGTTTTCTCTTGGGTTGCTACAGTGACATTTGATTTGTATTCGCTAAGTTATCATGCTAGTTGTCAGGTTTTCGACGAATTATCAGGAGGTACAACCCTGTACAACCTTTGAAATAAGTAAATAATTTTGCATTATCAGCAAAATCATAAGAAAGACTGAAATGCAGTATTCTTGTGATGAGTGTTTCAAAAAAAGATCGTTCCACGGCGAGTCTGCTATACGTCTTTCGATATGGGGCAAATATCAAAAAAGGTTTAAAAATTTCAGGACAGCTTGTACTTCGGCCTTTTTTGGAAAAAACAGTACCCAGAATTTCAAATATAGTGTTGTCAGTTATTTCTATTCATCCCAATATTAACAATCCGTTCCACTATTTTTCTTCCGTTTCCATTGAGTCCACGTTGTTGTCAAACTGACTGTAAATAAGGCACTGAGCTGCCAGGATAGAATAATAAACCAATGATATTCTTATGTTGTAACAACTGAGTATATTAAAATCAGTCCATTGTCATAGAAGAAGAGTCGAAGTTGTTACACTGGCTGGGTGTGATAAAAATATCTATCCACAGTAATATTTTACTCCTCTATTAGTTTCCTCTCGAAGCTGAAGAGGCCGACAGCTGGACTAATATCTTTCCATTTCATCAGCAAAAATACAGGCTTGAGATTTAAGTGTGCCTGACGTGAGAGGTCTAAAAGGGAAAACTAACTAAAAAAAACCGTGTAGAAACTAACCAATCGCCCTCTTCCTGTGTAGGAATAATACAAATCTCTGATCGATGTTGCCAGGGACTGACTTCATTGCCGATATCCGCTATCAAGCTTTTCTGTGAGACATTCAGCAAATAGTATTTTCCGGTACATATAGGATTTTCCGGTATATGTAGAATTTTCCTTTGGCCGGCAAATTTTTAATGCACGGCATATTCTTTCATCAACGAATTAAATATTTTCAGTTTGACACTAGTTTCCCAATAGATGGAACCGCTAATTAGGCAAATAGATAGAGGAGTTAAACATTCTTGTTCGCTTGGTCTTCAGAAATTCAGCTATACTTTCATTGGAAGAAGGAAGAACTCTATAGAAACTCCCCGATATCAGCTGCTATCGTTTGGGCTCAATTACCTCTAGGAGATGATTAAAAAGCACTGTGACATAAATTATCGTACAACTAAGGTTCTTTCCACAAACATTCAAATGCTAAGAAAAATAGTGAAAAAAAACGAATCATGAAAATCTTAAATGTACCAAAACTGGAAAAGATAAATACTACAGTGACCCCAAAAAATAATAAATTAGATAGAAAAAAGGATATGAACAATTAAAACTAGCAAGAACAACACCAGAATTTCACGAATTTCATTCTCATCAAACTGGTGTCGATCGGATATAATATTTTCCAAGAAAAGACAATAAGCCTTCCTATTATTACCACTACTAATTAAAGTAATAACATCACTAAAGATCATAATAGCAATACTTCTTTACTTCTATTATAGGTTTCATATAGCTGGTCTTCTTTATCGAAGCCGCCAGACTAGTTCTCGGCCTTACCATGATTACTGAGAAGGTTAAAGTAAGGAGTAGAAGGAGCTTATTATCAAAGAAAGAGCGTTCAAATGCGAAAGTCACATGTAAATCAAAGTTACACTTAGCCATCGTTAAAAATGGTAGAGGAATGCATTTCAGAGTACCTCCCAAAACACTAACCATTTTACCCTTCACGACCGCTGAACTGTAGATTTCCGCAAGTTACTAGAATAGTTTCCAGGCTTCCCAGAGTAGGTAGTTTCAAAATGGCGTCTCCTTCGAAGCATGTGCCTTACGAATTTTCTCTTAAGGAAGCAAAAAGAAAGTGCTCTGAAACAAATTCTTGCTTTGTGAAGGAACAAACAACAGAACATATTGTACTACATCCACGATACCTCGGTTGTGTGAGGAAAGGAGTTCAGGAACATTTAAAAAGTAAGCTGATGAGGCATTCGGACATTCTGAACGGTGTGCCTGTAAATTATGAAGCTTTTAAAATTGAGCAAAGAACTGGCTCCATTCTGGAAGAATCACCCTATATTCATTTTGATGTAAAAGTAAATATCATCTTGTTTAAGCCGACGATCGGAAGTACGCTTGTGGGAACCGTAAACAAACTTGGCGTTGATTACGTTGGATGTTTGGTTCACAATTGTTTTAACGCTTCGATCGCGAAATCAAACTTTAAAAATGGATTACTTTTTGATAGCCTGGACATTGGATCTGAATTTTTATTTAAAGTTATTGGAACAGAAGCCGTGAATGGCGTTTTAGCGATAATAGGTGAAGTGAAGGAACAAAAAGTCAACAAAAGGTGAATATTTCATACTGTAGCTGAATGTAAGCTCACATGTGTAAGCATACTGTGTAAAAGAGACCACATTTTTTCTTTTATCTGGTGGGGAAAATGGTAATAATATTACACCTCATTAAAACTGGGCCTCAAAAGCTTCAATCTGTTCTGTTTTAAATGGTTGAACAATCTAAAACCAAGACAAGGATTCTGGAAGCATATGGATTGCTATCAGTGCTGAGTGTTGACAACTAGTTGCAGCTTGTTGCTAGTTGTCTGATAGCCAGTCATATTTTTTCATTGTGAGCTACCAGTGCAGAATTCATACTTGCTAGCTTTTTCTTTATCCCTCTCCTTGTGTCTTTGGCTGAGGCTGAGGATTAAAGCTGCATCCAGTAATTATTCTTTACTAGTTTCAGTTGACTTGGACAAATAGTAGTCTCTAGCCTTTAAACATGATTTCTCTACTAACACCTCTGAGGCTGTTAAAATCATGCAGCTATTGTATTTCTTTTCAAGTTAATATTAAGTATGATCACAAACAAGTAGCTTAAATTTTGTGCTTGCATAAGCTTGATATAAATGGAATTGTGTATTGCAAGATACATCATCAATATTATCCATTGTCATGATTGTGTAACCTTCCTCTCTTGGTTACAGGAAAAGGAAACACAAAGATATAGAAAGATATGAACAACGGTCTAGTGATGAAACTGATCAGCCTGAAAGAGTGACTGAACTATCCTCTGAGAGACTGAATCAGAATGGTTTAAACTTAACGGATGGAAATACAAAAGTCAAGAAAAAGAAGAATAAAGTCAAACATTCAAGAGGAAAGGAGGGGGCCAAAACTTTTTAAATATAAATTTGTGATTTATTTTTTAAAATAAACATTTGGAGTAACTTTTGTCCTCATTTTGTGTTTAAGAACAGCAGCAGAATCCTACATTGACTTGTTTAAGAGGCTTGCCCTCTTGAGGCTAGTCACTTTGATACCTCCCCATTTTGTTATTTGCCATTATCCAGCAATCTTCTTTGAACCAGATTGATCAGTAATATATATTTATAGGATGGTAATAATGTGTCAGAACAGACTGACCAGAGTTATGAAAACAAAAACTTACGCTTTTCTTAAGGAGTCTTCCCTTGTTTTCATACACATTCCTTAAAAGCAGGTGACATTAGTTAGAAATGGAAGGATGAGAGGATATGTCTCTTTTAAAACAAGAAATAGTATTTTGGAAGTGGGAGAAATTCTTGTATTCCATCAATTATTATTTTATAATTTTATGTAACATTAAGATTATGAGCTCAAGATATTCCATCTTGTGATATGAGGCAAGACAAGGCCCTAATTCATCATTTTAAATCCACAACCTGCTTTAAACTGAACACTAAGACAGGTTCGTGCCTTTAATTCTGTTTGTTTACAACCACACGCTGTCACCTACTCACTCTACCCATAAGCACTATTGCAATCCATGAAATATTTTTGTTGGCATGTGACTGGTCTAAATAAGATTTAATCAAATACTGGGTAATATCCAAGAATACACCCAAGTTGTATTCCCCAATTTTTAAACCCTATGTCTACTATGTTAGAAGTCTTTAAAATTTAATTCAAGATGGGAGAGCATTTAGCTTTTGTTGCAGAAGAAAAGACTAATTGTTTGTTCATAATGTCATACCAGAGAACACTGACAATTAAACAGCCCATGCAGCATACAGTAACTTGTGCATTACCATTTTTCCCATCGAATGCAAAAATATTTGCATAGACAATCATAATTTTGAGAGCAATTTGGAATAAATGAGCATGAGTAAATTTTTTCAGACTGACAAAATTTTTGTAATTTGTGGTCTTTAAAAAAATTGTGCTCATTTATTCCAAATTGCACAAGAAAAATCATGTGATTATGTATTAATAATATACATGAAAAAATACGAGATAGTTTATCATAATTATGCCAAAGAAAAGCTCACACATCAAGTGCAAAAATAATTTATTAAAACCCTGCAAGTGACATTATGCATTTAGTCAAAACAACCCTGCATGATCAAAACAATAATATACAATGATATTTTCACATCTTTCAGGTGCAAAAAAGGTCAAAGTTGGCTAAACAGTTCAAGGAATTGTTCAGTCTGGTTTGTTACTTCTTTGCACTGAATTAACCCTCTTCTGCAATGAATTACCTAAAAACTGCATTTATCTTAACCAATTAGAACTGAGTAATTTTTCATGTACCATTTGGCACAAAAGTGTGCTCATATATTTGTACTTGGACACTGTCTGGTCTTCGAAGCTTACAGTTTTCCTCGAGCTTCGCCCTCAGCCTTGGAACTGTTCGGATCTCGCAAGAGATAATGTCCACGAGCAATCATGTGGGCATGTTTTTGCACCAAATAGAGGCTACTGTTTATATATTAGATAGCAAGTAGCGTTGCCAGTCAGATAGTAGTATTTGGGATAGATAGTAGATTAGTACCAATTATTGATAGGGCACCCTGGCTGCCTAGGTCCGATTGATGACAAGTAAGTGTCCTTCGGGTTTTGGTGTGCACGAGGAGCACCTAAGGACACAGACTGGTGCGTGTACTTGCTATACCCTACCCTGAAGAGTGAAACATAACATGTCACTCGCTCTTTCCGTCACAGCATAATTCATGGTGTGCACCTAAACTTTGATGAGATTATCGAACAGTAAGTTTGCAGAGCTTGCTAGACTTTTGATCTGTATATTGAGTTTTTCAAAGACATCCTTTGTGCGCAAGGAAGGGCTTATTAACATGTCGAACTGCGAGGGAGATGAGTGATCACGGTTACCTGCATGCGATGCGACCACAACCCCTCCCACCCATAGTATAACTTATCTCCCGCACCCACAGTCGAAAAGCTGACCGCCTGGATGTTTCAGGCGATAGATCCGGCTAATAACTAATTGTTGTATCCTGAAGCATGATCATGACTATGCTTTAAAAAAAATGGTCCAAAGTTTAAACCGGGTGGTGTGGTTTTTTTCATGGCACAAATTAGCGAAAAATTGGCGAAGTTCGTGGAATTCATGCCGAACTTGTTGCACGTGGTTAGTTTCTCAGCGAAAAATCGAATCCCAACGATTTACTTCAAGCACCACAATATGTGTTGATGCTGGGACGACGTTTGCATCACAAATCAGAAAAAGAATCATTCATACGTTACCTGGAGATTTTGGTGAACAGTTACCAAGCCTAAAGCAGATCGAGCATTTTCTGACAAGTCGTAAACTCACGTTCGAACGCGGTCATACTTCACTCATAGGAAATTGTCCACTATGTGCTAGCAAAGCTCAGAGTATAGAGGAGAAGGGCAATGCACGAACACTTTATATTAATAAGACTACTGGAAGTCATTTTTGCAAAAACTGTGGATTATCGGGAACCTGGAGTCAATTTAAGGTAAAAATTTAGACAGTGAAAATTACAGTCTGTAATGTTTATAAAATAACCGACATAGTACGAGCGCCCTGATTGGTCAAAAACCTGTCGTTTATTGCACCGGTAACCCATAGAAAGTTGAAACATATTTTGTTTCAATTTTATTTAATAAAAGCGATAGACCACACTTTCTATCAGTTTACTAGCGTAATAACCCATTTGGCCTGTTGGGGGAACACAAGAAAAGTTTGCAAATCACTCCTCGGGTTCAAATAATATGGTCAGCACAGGTGCCTAACACATGTAAAAAGGTGAGGTAATTGCCTGAGGTGCTTAAAAGTGTTTCTTTCTGCAGTTCAAACCATAGAATCATAGTTTTCAAAATTTGATTCAGAGGAAAGAGCGGTAGTATTGCAATGTTTCCTCCATATATCAAGGGATATGCTGACTTACATGCACCTGGCCCACCCTCTGAAAGTTCATGATCATGCTGATCTGTTGAACAAGTGAATTGAGGACTATTTTCAATAATAATAAATTATGGAAATGATGGAGAGGACTCAGCCATTATTGCACAGGTAAACACGATCTTGCACAGGTAAACACAATCTTGCACAGGTAAACACGATCTTGCACAGGTAAACATGATCTTGCACAGGAAAATATGAAAACATGATTGGGAGACAAGGAATACTGAGGGAGACTTCATATCTACATTTATTTAATTCTGAACCTTCCTAATGACATCTGCAGTATTTATAGTGGGAAGATCTGTGATTTGAGTTTCATTTTGCTTTCATAATATTAGATTTGGGGCTGGGGTGATATTGTGCAGAGAAATAAGATACTAGTAACTCTTACAGATTCACAAACATCAAAACCTGACAAAACCAATTTCAATTTTGTTGTTCAGTTACATGTTTATTGTATAGTAAAATAATCTGGGAGAGAATTTGAAGAGCCACAAAAAGGAGTTCTGTCAGTGGCAGTGACAGATTTGGAATCTCTATTTTAGCAGCTGAATTATTATAATAATGACAAGTTGTCAAACATCAACCACTGTCACCAAAAGTAATTTTTTTTTCACAACTACCCTACCTCGGAGATTCACCAGTGTGATCATACTACATAATCAACTTTTGCTCTCAGGTCTGTCTAACCATTCAAGTTGAAATTGTGTATTTAGACCTGTTTTTTATAAATGTAGAAGATACACGAAGGAAACATTTCTCAAGAGGCAAATCAATTCTCTTCAAATGGCAATCATGTTGAAAGCAGTTCAGATTTAGCCAGACAAATATGGGAAAAGTCTACTTCACTGACTCAGTGTGATCATGAGATGTGGGAAAAGTTTATTAATCATTTCTCAGTCAAGGTAAAACAGTGTTTTACTCTCCTGTGTTTCCAAATAATGTAATTAAAAATATCATATTTAACCATTACATCCTAATGGATCCTAATCTTTGATGACAATTCAACAAAATCTGTGGAAGTTATCATCATCAGAGTCAAGAGACAATTTGTCTGTCAGGTCAGTGTTAAAAGCCTGGTTGGTGAGAACTGATTAGTCAGAAGTGCCCTGATGTTGTTAGCAGTAAGACTAAAGTTGTGTTTAACCTCCTCTTTAAGCTTCTTTCAACCAGGGACTTCTGAAAGCTGGGTTGCAAACTGATGTCAACAACTTCTAGCACCATATGAGCAACTTATATACAGCTAAAACACAATAGATTAGGAAAATAGAAGGACATAACTTTACTGACACAATGAAACTGACCTGTCCTAACCAATTTCTTCTACCTGAGTCTTGCATATGTGTACAACCAGTAATATCACAGCAAAACTGACCAATCAGTTTCCATGAACCAGACCTATAAAACTTTACCAAAAACAGTTCCTTGATAATTTTTAGTGATTGAGAAATAAATTTCATTTTAGCAGCTCACCAACAAGAATCATTGCTTTACTGAAACAACTCCTTACTAGACTCAGAGGATTATTTCTGCTATTTTTTTTTTTTTGAGATGGCAGTCACCACTTAATGTTGCTTCTGATAAAACACTTTTTCATGAATGCTCCCACTTACACAATTAGACTACATGATCAACCAGCTCTTACTCTTGGGTTCAGCTCATTATTATTGTATTTTTTTTTCCTGGTCAAAAGATGGTGAAAACATTTGGTTTCCTCTGTGTGAATCAGCCTGCTTGTTTATAAGAACTGTGTTTAATTTTTGCTCTGTCCTTGAATAGCCTGAATAATATACTGCTGAGTTCACTTTGTATCCTGCTATTTATAGGAATTAAGAAGGGATGTATTGGAGAAATTTCAAGTCAGATTTGTTGAACATGAGGTGAATATGTTTAATAATTACTTTGAGTGATTTTAGTGGTTAAAATGATGACAATGATATTTGAAATTGACCAAAATTGTAATATACTTACCACTCAAAGTTGTTGTTGTCTAGTTCCTCCAGAGTTGAAGGTAAATTTTTTTTTGTATTTTATTCTATTCTCATATAGTTCAAGGAGCAAAATGGAAGGTCAAGAAAATATGAGTGTATATTATTCCCATGGTATGATGTCAGCAAGGAAACTGTTAGGGGCGTTAAGCTTGTGAGGCTGGGATCTGACTCATCTGACTCCTGCATTGCTATTGAACCACGGTAAGAAAGTGACATGTACCTGTATGTTGATCACTTTAGGGTTAAGTCAAAATATGGATGATTCCACTTCTACTGGAAAGCTAGTAAATGTTGAAGAACTGTTACTCCTAAATGCATATTATAATTTGAGCCAACAGAAAAATAACCCCCATTCCTTGCACAAACATATTACATGCATCCTTATGTAAAGGGACCACACTTAAAGACTTACTAATCATATATGAAGGCTTTTATTTGAATCTGATAATATTTAATATGTGTAATGTACGTATTCAATTAGCACAGTCTAACTTTAGTTAGATGCATTATTTTTTTTTTTATTAAGCAATTTTTTTTACATTTTGATCTCCAGGCAGGGCTTTTTGGGACTATTTGGTTGGAATACTGTAGATTCTGAAAAAAAGGAGGTTGGTTACCCATATGTATATCTGGTGAATGTCAAACATTTACCAAGGAACTCAAGGTGCTTGTACTGTATGTAGGTCATTGTGAAAGCAGCTTGGTTGATTAATACACTTTCTTGGCTGATTGCTATATCAATCCACAGGCTCTAATTGTTGTAGTCAAAGTAAATTGTATTTCACTTTGGTCAATTTTAGGTTGTTTTGACTTCCAACGAGTTTGATGCTATTGCTGTGAGTCAATCAACTATGTATCCAGCCATTTCCCTTCCAATGGGAACAAACTCCCTTCCTCTTGAGGTTTGCTGCATATGTTTTATGTATCAGTTCTTGTACCTTCATATAATGTACATGTTAATTGTCATCTCTAAAATATTGTTTCAGTTTTAAAGCCAATTTGTACTGTTTGGTGAACTATTTCAGTCAGAAATTTCAAAGGGAAGTAAATAAGTGCTTCTATCAGTGATGAAAAGGATTCTTCATTAAGTCTCTTATTATTTGATATACAAAAAAATTCTTGTTTCAGTTAATCTTCCAGTATCACTTAATTATGTATTACTTATTATGACCCAGGTTTATGGTGTAACCAGAAACTGAATTTTCTAGTGTTTGGAGATTACAGTAAGAGTTGCTAAAATAGAAAGAAGTCTAGGGCCTTTCGTAAATGCAAGTGGTATGCTACATGTACAAATAATTTTGCTCGTTGCATGCTGATGTGAATGTTTGTGTCTTTAGGTTCTACCACAACTTGAACAATTTGAGAAGATTGTTCTTTGGTTTGGAAATGATGTTTTCTCTCGGCATGCAGCCAATCAGTTTTCAAAGAAGTTAAACTTGAAAAGGTGTTTCCTAGTCAGGTACTTGTTCCTGTTTCAGAGAAAAGAAATTAGTGTTTTGGAAAGAACAATCCAAAATTTACAGAAAGTTCACAGCAATTTGCTTCTCCATGTTACTGTTCCTCCCTCACCAGTAAAGATAGTTAACTCAATAATCCATCTGTCATCCCCTCTTTGATATTTGATAAATTTGCATTATGTTTTGGTTCAGTTGTTAGATCACTTTTATATCTTATTACTTTCATGCCACAAATAAACACGCAGGAGTGATTTTTTGGGACTTGTGACCATAAATGCCTTTTAAAAAATAACTCTGTTGATCTTCAGGGCAACCAGTTGTTGAAAGTGAACTAAGAATAAATTGAAAGTTTGAAATAGTATTTTAACTTTCAAATAGTCAAACTTGTAATTATTGCACACCCTCCATATGAATTACTCAGCTTGATGGTCTCAGCTATGTATAAACTTGTCTTAACAAAACCACTCTCAAGCAGACTATTTATCTGGTTCCATTAAGATGTTTAAACAATTCACTTTGTCAAAAAAATTGCATTGAGTTGTTTAATTTCCTTGCAGGCCAAATGATGACAAATTTCCAGCAAATGCCTTAGATGCTTTAAATTTGGTATGTTGAAGTTGAGGCAGATTGTATGTGCACAGTGTATATTCACTCATTTTTGTGTAGATTATCCATTATTTGGTCTCTCTGCCATTTTTCATGTGGGAATCTATTACTTTAAGAAATCTTAACATCTTTTCATAGGTTGATAATAGTTTTTATATATCTACAGGTATTTACATAATTTGCATACACGATGCTTCAAATTGCAAGGGTCATACTTTTGTTTAACCCTGATGTTATCTTTTTTCTTTCTTTTTAGGGTTATGATCTCACATCATTAATTTCTGCTGCTCAACCAATCAGCCATGAAAAAATCACTACTTTCCACCAGGTCTGTCTTGGGTAGATATAATTTTAGCAAATATTCCTTTGATACCAGTCCTCTAGTTTTAGGGTGTAAAGTAAAGCTATTAGTAGTGGTCAGTACTGTAATTCTACAAGTAATTCTACTAGTAATTCTTCATACAGGTAATGCGTATTTTCAATCTTTTCAAAGTTGTTTTTTTTACCATCTTAAATGCCCTGCATATGGGCTCTTTCAATATTTTGTTTTTAGTTGAGGAGTGAAGTTTTTGATCAGTTTGTTAATGCTGAGCAAGTCGCCGGAGTGAAGGTTTGTAGCTTTCTTTGCATTTTAAGTTACAGTCGGTAGTTCTGTTGAATATTTGAAAAGTGGATGATAAAGAATATTTCATTAATTTATTTATAGTGGAAGAGATTTCCAAAATTAAACAACATTCTGAAAGGTCTACGGCGAGGAGAAGTGACAGTGTTTACAGGGCCCACTGGAGCAGGAAAAACAACTTTATTAAGTGAAATGTCACTTGATCTCTGTATGCAGGGGGTGAGTTTAACAACGAACAATACTCTCAAACAACAAGTTGGCGTGAGCCAACTAAATAAACATGTAAGGTAGTTATTTTGTACAGATACAAGCCTAAAATACATACAAAAAGAAAAGAAAACTAAACGTGTGCCAGATAGTATCGTAACAGTCGGAGAACAAGCAATATAGTAGGATATGGCCGAGTTCTTGTTTTTGTTGTTGTTTTTATGGACCGCAACGAAGTCGAGGAAGTCGAAGTCGAGAAAACGCTAAAAAAAAAGGATTAAGACTAATAATTAGCCATCTTGACCGGATAAGCTTGGTCAATAAAAGATTTATTATAAAGCAGAAAGATTTCGCTTTATTAGGAATCAATAATGCCTTTTGTTTCGAGAGCCAGGAAAGAAACCCTACTGTATTTTTTAGCACAGTAAACCAAGGACAGTCGTTTATGTCTTCATGACCTTGGCTATATTCAGCTTTTTTTTTTTTTTTTACTCCTTTACCGACATTGTCCAAAAAATTACGAACTTTGTAAGTCTGTTGTATGGGTTTTTTTTCCTACGGGGGATCAAAGCGTGCAATCCCAAGCGGGCGAGAAGGGCCCATCTCCTCGGGTAGCCAATCAGAACAAAGGAGTCGCTTCATACTACCCAAGAGCATGGAAAATATTTAAGCAAATACAATAGCAAATACAATTTTAATATGATATCAGTTTTTGGAAATTGAGGTACGAAATATACGCACAGATGTCAGCACGAGAACAATGAATCTATCTCTGTAGAACAAAGATAGATTCAATTTGGTACAATTTGCAACGACATTTCGATCCTATATGGGGCGTTACAATATTATGAAATGGAGACTAAACAAACACAAAGATCTACAAGTTAAATCGAAAGTAAAATGCCAATTGTGCAGTATTTTTTTAAATTTTTTTTTTTATCAGTAGGGTAGATCTTCGTGCTGGAAATAACGTCGTAAAATCTATTAACTTACATATTGGGCGTGTACCGCTGACCACGTATTGATTGAAGAAAAGTGACGATGAGTAAAATACAAAAGGTCAATTACGTAGGTAAAATGTGAGCGCGTTTGACTGGAAGTCTATTCTGTATTGATAACTTCGAAAAGACTGGTTTACCCACCGAAATAACCTTGCTTCGTCACCTCAGGCCCTCCTTGAGACAAGACAGTCTACAAAACGCATGGTTTTCTACGACGATAAGCTTTCTCGTAACGTTTGCTTTTTCGATTTAAATTGGTCCCGAAGATCCCTCTGTTTGCTCAAGGCGTTTTACTCACTAAATAATGATTTCCGAAAGATCTTACGACTAAATATCAACATGGTTACGCATTCTTTTCATATTTATATTACGCGATGATCGCTTACATCATGTAGCTTGTCACGTGGGGTAAACTTTACAGAAACCATAACAGCATTACGTCATTTTTCGTCCTATATGAAGCACCTTGCACGAGCGGTAAGAGATTGCGAACGTGTATAGTTGCTACGCACGAGACACAAAGACCAACAGTGCTCGGGACACTAACAAGAAAAACCAAAAGTGTGCGAGATGCAAACGAAACAATCGGACACCACGGAAGTCCTCAAAGTACGCCAGCAAAAAAGGAACAATCAAACAGCAAGATAAACCAAAAGTCCGCAACGCACTAACGTTACAACCGGACAGCAAGGAAAACCAATAGTGCGCGAGATACTAAGGTGAAAATCGGACAGAAAGAAAAACAAAATGTGCTCTAGACACTAACGTAACGATCGTACAACAAGGAAAACCAAAAGTGCCGGGATACTGACGCAACCGTGGGAAATCAGGGAAAACTAAAAGGGCGCGAGATACTAACGTAACAATCGGAAACAAAAAAAAAACCAAAAGTGTGCATGATAATAACGTAACAATAGAATCACAAGAAAAAAAAAAACGAAAGTGCGCAAGATGTCAACGTAACAATCGGATAAAAAGAAATTCCCAAAAGTGCGCCAGGTACAAACGTAACAATCAAACAGCAAGAAAAACCAAAAGTGCCCGAGATTCTGACGTGACCATCGGATTGGAAGGGAAACCAAAACTGCGCGAAATGCTAACATTACAATTGGACAACAAGGGAAATCAAAGTGCGCGGGACACTAACTTAGAGAACCATAAGTGCGCGAGATACTAACGTAACAATCGGACAACAAGGGAATCCAATAGTGCGTCAGATACTAACATAACAATCAGACAACATAGGAAACCAACAGTTCTCGAGACACTAACCTTAAAATTAAGACATAAAGGAAAACCAAAGGTGCGTTAGATGCTAACGTGTCAATTTAGCAACAAGGGAAATTAAAAAATACAGTTAGATAACAGTTCATGACATAAGTGGAGTACAGCTGCCTGTGAACGATCGTAGCTCGACTTGATTACTCAGCGACAAGCGTTTGATGGAGAGCGATCAAAGAGGCACTGGTTGTGTCATTTTATTACTAATTAAATGCTGTATTATTTAAGTACTTAATGCTTACATACCATGAAGGACACAAACATGTATGTAGAGAACTATCAAACATAGATGTCATCGTCATTAATACTGGCATCACCATCATATTTAACGCAGGTTACCCTTCATCACGCTCGGATGTTGGGGTAATTTAACATGTTTTCTCTTTGTTTTGAGTGTCGTTTTTCAATACCAGGTGAACACGCTTTGGGGAAGTTTTGAGATTCGTAATGTACGCCTTGTGAAAATGATGATGTGTCAGTATTCGGGGTAAGTTGAAAGGATATGGTTCACGTTTGTTTAGTATAAAACAATCAAACCTCATTAGGTCACAACTGAATATCATAACGATGTTAAAATGTCGATGTCTTAAGAAAATTATTAAGTGGGATAAAGTATTTCGTTTAATCTATTTTAGTCGGTACATTTCGTTGGTTGTAAGTCCACTTTTACAAACCACATGCACATAAAGCTGTAAATAAGTGAAATAGAGACAGCTGAAGTAAGTAATGACTATGGTAATAGAACTTTTCGTGCATTTATTTTGTATTCAGATTGAATTTAGAGAGAAACGTTGAGCAGTTTCATTACTGGGCAGACAAGTTTGAGATGTTACCAATGTACTTCATGTGTTTCTACGGAGCTCAGAACATTAACACTGTCATCGAAGTAAGTAATGTTTATAATAAATATTTCAAGTAGTCAATTATCAGCAGTGTATTTTACTTTGAAGATGATTATAACCGATTATTTTCTGGTTTGTTAGACCATGAGTCATGCTGCTTATGTGTATGACATCGAACACGTCATCGTCGACAATCTACAGTTTATGACCTCATATCTAAGGTATATTGGACGTAAATCTGTATGTCTCTAGTATTAAACATGGAAATGTACTCAATAACCCTCCCTGATTTCCTTTGACCCCACCCAAATTAAGGCAAACAAATAACACAATTCAAGTGTTACATGTTTACAAACTCGGCTCAACCGGCAAGAAGCACAACAGTTGACGATTGACTCTTATGGTGCAGAAGTCGACCTTGCTACTAATGAATCACGAATCTGAAGCGCTTATGCTCACACTCACAGGACTCCACATTACACAAAATGACACACTATACAATATCACCATATTTTGTGTTTTCCTTGGTTGCTTAAAATTCTCGATTAGAGAATACCGACAAATATCAAAATTGAAAGGCAACGTGTGGCTAAGGATGCCGCGAAGAAATTAACAAAGATTACCGGTCACAGAACTTTAGGCTAAGAATTTTACGTTAGTTGAACTATAACTCTTGCAGTGTTAATATGATGGATAAAGTTACCATTACTCGTTGCCAGTTAAACCTTTTTCTTTTTTTTTGTCATTTCCTATTAGCCGTGGGGACGACCGATTTTCGGCTCAGAATCACGTGATCTCAGCACTGAGGAATTTTGCTAGCACCAGGAATGTACATGTCACTTTGGTCATCCATCCAAGAAAGGTTTGCTATGCACTGACGCGGTCCAAACATGTTCATAGGCACACCTGGTTTCTCCTTGGCTGGTGGGACTGTGACTTTTCCTCCCATGTTCCCCCAAAAAAGCGAAGAAGTAAAGAAACAGAAGAAAAACAAGCTGTAACCTGATTGACTGTACTCTGAAATGAAACAGTCATAAATTGCATTGCCATTTTTTAATTCATAGTAGAATGAAAATGCATTCATAGATGGTGATTAAGAGTTGTGATTGAAATTCCTTAACGTCAAGTGTCAAGTAGTGTCAAATGGCCCAGGAATACAAGTCCTCGCTGTAGGGTTTTTTTGTTATCACGGTGCTACAGTGTACATGTATAGCATGGTTACCACTATTTCATCTGATTCCTTCTTTTCAAATGTTTTCAAGGATATGCTTCGCTTAATTGTTTGGGTAGATGCTTGACTTTATGGCAAAATTCCTTTTGCTTGTTTTTTGACAAACAGCAACACAGATTGTTACATTGTTACTTTAGATGTAAATAGCACTTTTGGTTATACTAATTGTTATACTAATTGTTTTAAAATATGTTCATCATAAAGTTTACAAACATACACACTGTCGTCCATAGGAAAATGATGATGTTGAACTGCAAACAGCGTCCATCTTCGGTACAGCAAAAGCCAGTCAAGAAGCAGACAATGTGGTCATTCTTCAGAGCAAGAAAGGAGCAGCTAATAAATATCTTCAGGTTAACGTTGTACAAGTGAATTTATTATCTTCATAAAAATTGTATGTCAGAGGAACAAAGAAAAACGTTATGAATGTCAACGTAGACGTGTCATTGTAGACGTTCGTAGTGTTCAGTTATTGTTGTTGTTGTTTTTCATGCCTGAAGTGCATATTGAACAAAGTCGATATATAATAATATAATATTATTATAATATTATAATATGTGCTCCGTTTGGTCCTCAGTTATCATCAGCCGTGTTACCACTAATGGCGGCTGGCTTTTACTGGTGTCATAACAAAATTTTCGTTTGCAGAGCAGTTACAATTACGTGACCAGTGGTAGTACTTGTTGTTCGTGTTTTTAAACAAGGCTTCCTTTTACCCAAGTTTATGTCAGATTTTCAACTTTTAGGCTCAAATTCGTCAAGATAACACACTAGGGTCCAAGGTAACTTGGTGTGGAGTGCACAAATGATGTATAATTTCTTTCGTCCCCTTAATGTTATTAGCTCATAGTGGAATACATCTACATTCCTTAACTCTTTTTAGTCTCATTATCCTTAATGATACTTTTGTCACGGAAAACAGACAGTATTTCCAGTATTAAGTTTCTCTATATACCTATAACCTTTTTCCCTCGCGGTAAACCAATGATGTCTTGAAAATAAAATTGTAATCGCAAGCCACTTTCTCTCGTTGCTCAGCACATCGTCGTTTGTTTGTGGGTGAACAGTAAGGATGTGATACTTGTACTAAACTCCACCTATGGCAGACAAACCGTTTAACTAGAGAATCGCTGTTATATTTTACAGATGTCTTTGATATTTCTCTCGTTTTTCTTTTTCTAAAGGTTACGAAAAATCGCTTTGATGGTGTACTGGGCCGCGTTCCTTTGGACTTTGTCAGAGAATCTCTATCAATGTCAGGATTTGGTAAAACATTCTCATCAATGAACACCAGTGACAGAAATGGAAGGCTTCCTGAAAAGCTTAACGCAACTAGAGTGACGGCAGACGTGAATATTGTGAAGTTTTCAGCGCCAAGAATTATTGGGGCGCAGAGATCAGCACAACAAAATGGAGTGACACCAAAGACGGTTTCTTCTACGCCTGCTAAGGAGAATAAAGACGTAGTAGCGTCGGATGAAGTTACAAGAAATGTGAATTACATAAGCAAGATCAACGGTGAATCAAATCATAATGAAACAGTTATGGAAAGCGACAACACTTCTGATAAAATCTCGGAAGAAAAAAAGGAAAGTGTAAAAAAAGCAGTCAAAAAGATTCTAAGCGGCACCCGCTTGTACACTAAAGCCGTCAATGGTCCACGAAACAGTACTAGTGTGGGTAAATCTTCGTGGAGGCGAGTTGTAACCCAATCCAGCGAGTAACCCGGAATTTGCGTAACAGTTAAACCTGCATTAGGCGTCTATCCTCGGGAAAGAGCCAGATGATCGCTGACTAAGTTTGGAGAGATATGTGGCAGAAGAAGACAAAAAATTAATAAATAAAGTCGATCACAAAAATTTAATTAAATTAGTTAAGTGTGGTCTTGATGCAGTGAAGCTATGTTCAAAATCATTTTGACAGTCATTCAACATCAAGTAAAAAAATTAGTTATGGTCGTCGCATTGCCTATGAATGTGTAACACCGGTATTTGAACCAGTGGTGCTTGGTGAAACTGGGTAATTTGATATTATCAACTGAGTTAATAACGCTAATTGGCTACCGTAAAGAGTTTCAAAGCTGACGCTTCGAGCGTTAGCCCTTCGTGCTTAGTAAAACGCTGACTTTGCCTTCTACTTTTTTAAAAGAAAGTTTCGTATTTTTTTTATCTCTTATTGAAAAAAATCAGTCGGTAAGAGGCTTTCACAGGGAAATAATATCTAGGTTTCAGACCCTTCAACGACCCCTTTAACGATAGAACCCTCAGATTAAGCAGTTGTAAAATAAACCATAGAACCACAAAACACTGAGCCTATTACGAAATTTCAGTATTGACAGGTTTATTCAGTACAATCACGATTGATTACTGTGCTTGACGTGGTTTTTCGGTTTTCACTTTGCCCTGACAAGAGAAGAATCTGGTCAGAGAAGAATCGAAAGAAGACAACTGAAATTCGGTTGAATTTCGGTTGAATTCCGGACTTTCAGGAGATGGGATAGCGTACTTTTGAAATTCTTTTTTTTTTTTTTTTTTTAATTTTTTTTGTTTTAGTCGGTGCTTCTTTATTTACATCATATTTAAAAACGCAACTTCATTGAGATTTAAACAATAATCACGTGTGTTTGGATTGAGTGCGAATATTGTCCATGCAGCATCTTCTCATGCTGACTACCCAATACAAATAACTTATTAACTACTACGTATGTCTTTTGATGAAAGGGAAAAGAACTGCTTTAACGCTCGTCGCTATTCTTTCAGCTGAGAACAGATCCGTTCCGCAATACGCAATGTAATTCACTTTGTTATAAATAGATCTATAACAATACATACAGATGGTCGAATACCATTTCTTTTTTCTTTGTTGTTGAAGACTTAATCAAAATTTTCATAAAATCAAAAAGCCGATCACGTAGACAGGCTAAGACTTGGTTTCTGTGTACAAATCCTCCGTCCCGTCTTTGAATTAAATATCGCAATTTATATTAATAACATAGATTTTCCATCTTGTTTTCACGGTACAACAACCCTCGCAGGCTCCACCTCCTCCTCCTTTTGGTTCCTTGGTGAAGTTGGCACCGCAGCAGATCGAGGACGCCTAGTAATTGGACTGCCATTGCGAGGAGGCTGAGGACTAGAAGCTCTTTTCGCCGACATGGCTCTTGGAGACTTAGGGTTCTGCTGAGAGGAAAAAGTACTGAGCACAGGGCTTTCTCGAAATGTTTCCTTAGTATCTATGCGTTATCACCGACAGGTGGTTAAATCTGATTGGCTGGCGGCATTAGCCTAGTTGTTTTTATTAGCTGTTGAGCTGTTTGACCAGCACGTTTACAAGCTGTTTATGAGAGAAAAAAAAAAAACTAAAACAAGTCAAATCGGACAGTTGGTCTTGCAAGAGCCAATTAACCTACAATAAAGGGTTGATTGGTGGCAGTCAGGTCAAGTACAATTGATCAAGTACAATTAACCACCAAACTGGAGACAACAAAAGTTTCATTCATTGGCAGATGAGAAAAGAGAAACCCATCCTTTCTGACCACGCTAGGTTATTTCGTTTGATTATCAGAAGAAAGAAAATGATTGATCAGTTAACCTTTTCTACAGAACTTTTTATGACAACAAAATTCACAAACCGGTGGCAACTCAGCCACTCCAACCATGTTTCCATCAAAACGTCCTTTGTAGATATGTCCATCCTGACCAATCAGCTCTGTTTCATCCCTTAAAATGAAGAACAAGACGTTTAACCTTGTTGATTCGCACTGCAAACACAAAATAATAAACAGAAATAATCACTTTAAGATGGATCAAAATATGCTTCTTTGAAAAGCATTTCTCTTACCTCGGAGGAATTGGAACTGGTGTGTCATCTTCCCTGTAGTAATAGTATTGGCTGAAAGCAATAACAATTAAAAACCGGTTTTCTTTTGTCTTAAACCGACACAACTTTATTCTACCCCACGCCATTTTGTTTTGAGCAGCTTACATAACAACTGACGAAATGGACACTGATATAAATAAACTTTGAATACAAATCCATAACAACAATTCAAGATGCACCAGAAGGGAACTCGTAAGAAACTCACTTGAATCTGGCCGTCCTTCTGTGTGGAAAGGTCACTGTATGACTTCCTCCACATGCTCGAGCTGTTGTTGTGGCTACTTCTTGCTCGTAAGTGTACCCACTGTGTACAAATATTGGTGTTACAGTTACAAAACCAACTAAATACTTTGCTGGTTAATGAAACGCATTTACGGAGTGAATGATATATTGGAATGGACTTGTAGTGTTTTTAATAATATGTTAACTTTACCAATTCATGTAATCCAGATAGGGGCCAAGGGTTTGTCAGTCTGTGACTTTAAAGTGTTTACCCTCGCTAAATAAAGTACGTCTTTTAGTGACGAGAAAACTACATGATCGAGCAGTCAAACAGCGCTACAACACCTTCCCCCCATCTCTTATGATTCAGTAGATGGCTCCTAAATAAAAAGACAAGGCCCCTAACTATCATAGGATTACAATTCGCCTGATAAAAAAAGAAGCAGTCGTCTTGTATCATTTCAATGTATAACACTATTTGGTTGAAATACAAAGCAATTTCCTGGTTTCGAGAATGTAAAAGTTGATTGTTAAAACTATTTTGACGATGAAGCAATGAGATGAGTCTAAATTTGTCTATCGAGCCAAAGGTGTTGAATGACAGATTTCAAGTTTACGTTAAAAGATTCGCTACAATTGTGGATAAAGTACGGATATCAGTCATTCTGCATAAATTTGAGTCCATAAATACCGCATACATTCAAATGGATTCACTTGGTCAACCAGTAAACCCGCCAAATTATCGAACCACATTGGAAGGCTTGCCACTGTTGTTTTACAAGTTGTGCAGTCTCCTTCCCTCAAAATAAAGGAAACGGTCACCTAAAAATTTTCACCTTTTCGACGAAAAACTGCAGGTTCACCTTCTGTGGCAATCACAAAACAACTGCACTTCCATCCAACCACATGTTATCCTCAGTGTCGCTAAGCAAACATTATTTACCACACCGATATGTGTACTTACCCTCGATGCATCTGACGTATCTGATCAAGTTCAAAAGTAGTGTAAGGGCGGCCTGAACGAGATGGAGGAAGACCAGGAGTCTGGGGAAGAGCTGGATTGGGACTAAAGGTAAAAGCAGCTTTAGTTAGAAATAAAACCGGTAACAGTGGGACGAACATAGAAAGGTTAGCCCCTCATGGTCTACATACCCTCGTCACTTTCAAGTGCAGGTAAGTGTTACAAACCAACTGACTATTTCATATTACTTTTTTCGGATTTACCTCTCACTCTTATTAACTAACGAAAATAATTCAAATAGCAAAAAACAAACAGTCACTTACTGGCCAGGTATCATGTCAACTGGTCTGTCACAGGAAATACAGTGAAATCTAAGCAAAGCCCTGTAGAACAAAGTCATCGTGAGTAAAACCAACCCGAACATATCAAATAATGCATACGGGTAGGATATTATAATTGTTGACTTAGAATTTTGGTGAAAAATTATGCCATGGACTCCGAACTACAGTAACTTACTTGCGGAATCCAGCAGCTGGATCATCGGATAAAGGTAAATCAACGTGTTTACACTTCATGTTTTTAATCTTCTTTTCTAAGAAAATAGAGAAGGAATAAAACATTTCAGTTGAGAGCAGGTAAAATATTCTGTGACTGCACGGGGAAGTCACTTATTACCGAAGTAATCCTTCAGTGGATCCAGCTCCAATCTATCAAGTTTCTGATCAATGTCGCCTGCAAGTCGAGCCAAGGCATCGCTTAATGATGATTCCTGCAAAATGTAAGATACTCAGTAATGAAAATACTCCAAAGTTCCCCAATAATATACTGCTATATCCCGAGGTTTCAAAATTTTTTTAAGATTTGTTTGATGGTATTTCCAGACCATATCTAGGTTTTCACTTATAAGCAGTGAACTGGAAACGATAAATGGCGAGTCAAAGAACAAGTTGAATCTTAGGTGGTACAGAAATTTGTGTCTTGTAGAACCCACCTGTCCATCTAATCTATGTAAAAGCTCCTGCATTGACTGTTCCAAACCACCTATACTCTGGTCAAATTTGCTCCGACTAATCAAGTTATCCAATGCACGTTTATCAGCTTTCTGTAAAAGTATATTCAAAACCTTAGTTGAATATCTAGTAACACATAACATCCTTATTTTCATCAACAACGGTAACTGAACGCTAGCTGGAAAATCATGTATAAGTTAAAAAAACTGAATAATAATGTTAAGTAATTTTTTAGGCTTGCTGCTCCACGCTCTGGTAAGTAAAACCTCCCTGAAAGAGACGCCTGTTGCCACACAATTCAACAAACAATTAACAAACTGATATCACGAGAAAGGGTCTTCATACCACATCCATTTCCATTGCAACCTGTTCTTTATCAGCTTTGACCTCTTGCAGTCTGTCAGCATACGTGTACAAGGCCTGTTAAATACAAACATCAGTATATAGAGTTTAAACTTGACAGGGAGAGGAAAGTAAAACAGAGAAGCGTTGAGAGATACCACTGATACTCCACTGATGAACCTCAGACACTCCAAGTCCGGTTAAAAAGTTTATTAAAATAACTAAACATGTTCCTTTTTTTTCTTAAGTTCATGGCGTTGGGGTTGCTGCAACTCACGTCAATATGTTTCTGTTTCCTGTTATGTTCCTCTATAAGTTCTTTAGTTGTACTGTTTAGTTTTTCCTGTTCTCCTTGTAGTTCAGTAAGCATGCTCCTTAAAGCACTGAGCGCATCACCATCCTGCAAAGCACACACACACAAAGAAATTAAGAAAAGCAGGAGTCAGACAAGCCAAGTGGACCATACAACTGAAATACGCAACTAAATTATTACTGCTCCCTCTTCATAGGATAACTGTACATGGCATTTCAACCTCCAGCCTTTTCTCAAGATTCCTTGACTGAGAGAGTACATGGATCTACAACTTACCCCATAAAACAACACAAAGAAACCAGTCAACGTTTACAACCGGACCTCTGCACGCTAGAGTTGTTAGTGACGACAACATCTCATTCAAAGCTGGAATTGACCTCAAGATGCAACTGACCTTACCTCAAGATGAACATCCTTTTGGCAAATAAGCAGAGTTCGTATGGATAAAATAAGTGAGAGGAATGGGGGAACCATGGTCGGCTGCACAATAATACTTCGTTTGGCAAGTGTATAGACTAGTGCGTTTTAACGACTAAACATTTTCTGCTCTTAATCTTTACACTCATTACGAATTTAAAGTAAGAAAAGTTGAAAAGAAAACCATATCCCCTTTAATAAATGTCACGTATTGTACGGTAGTTTACTTATTGGCTATTTTGTGTTTGCTGTTAAACGCTTTAAACTTAGTTTCTACTGTTTATTTTAGTTTGTGTTTGTGTGTGGTAGAGCTGTTACCTTTCCTTTCCCAGAGGACGCACTATTAGGTATTGTTTCTCTCATCTTCTTGTACTTTAACAACAAAATTCAATGCAGATTTTAATTTGCTGTCCTACATCTTACGAAAAATCTTATCAATTATTTTATACCAATACAAAAATATGTGTATTTACCCTTTCAGTATTAGCGTTTTTAATTTGTTTACCTTTTCCCAACTTAGCAAGGAGCCTAAATACGAGAAAATTTCAAGTAAATTCCAAGGTGTCTTATCTTGAATATGAGCATCATGATCTGTTCCGAAGGTTTGTGAAGTCAATGAATTCAAAATGTTAGAGGCTGATAAATAGCTGTATTCCTTTAGGTACGAAGGTTCATATCTATCATTTCTTCAAGATTTCTTTAAATATCAGTTTTTAAACAACCGAAGAGTTTTTCAGGAGGATGTTTTAAGATGTTTTTACACCAACCTTTTCTAACTGGTTGTTTAGAAGGCGGAGACCATCTCTTAAAGTTCTGATTTCGCGTTCGGTATCTTCTTTCAGACGATCTTCAATACGTTGCAGTCTTGACGGTAACTTTTTTTAAGAATGACATATACAATTTTTAATTTCAGAGACAATTGATAAGGTTTATCACGTTTTTTACATAAGTAAATATTACGGGGAGGCTTCAACAAGCCACTAAACATCACTTCAGTTTCTAGTTCTCGTCGTTATCTTTGAATTGTTTAAACCATTATGGCTTTACGATCACACTCTTATCTCTTACATTATTAACAAACCTAGGACCTCGTTCTCAGATATTTAATTCAAAAGAGGAGAAGGATATTAAGTTTCATGTTATAATTATTCATGACAGGCTTCTATTACATTAAAATAAAGAACAATTTACCTGATCGTTAAACTCTTTCATTTGAGTGATTGTCTTTTCCAAGTATTTAAGCTTATTAAGTTGGTCCAATAAATCATCAGGGATCATTTGAAGCTTAAACATTCGGTAACACAACATGGTTATTTCACAGACATATAATACCATGATAATGCTGTAAACGGTGTTCAGGATAAACTCTTTTATCTTAGTAAAGAAACCAGAGGATGTGAAAAAAAGTCATTTAAATATTCTAATAACACAACTATTTAAGGAATTGACCCCACTTTAACCGGTTTATTGGCCCGCTGACCTATTTGCAATTTAACCACCACTTGACTTCTTTTTGCCTCTTAATAATCTGGGAGACAACGCGAGATCGATTCCAAATTTTGCCAAGCAAGTGTCCACTTTCAAATAGAGTATTCACTGGTGCATTGTATTAAATTTGTTTGTTGGATACTATTAGGCACTAATTTACTTCATTACCTTTTCGTTGTGGTAGCTCAGCATATCAGACACTTTCTTTAGACTCTGGAGCTGTTCTTTCATGCTTTCAATCTTGTAAAATTTTATAAGATGTCAATACAAGTCTGTTTTGTAATTTTAAAAGAATGTGATTCCATGTTTACAGCACAGTGGCACAAAACATTCTGAAAACTTTTTCCTTGGAAATTTAGGCAAAAAATATTTTATATGGAAGCAAAGATAGAACCAATACTTTCCGAGCAACTGCTATCATATTTCACTTTTCACTTTTCACCAAATTTTGGTTGGTCTCTAAGGTTAACAGTGTCATTTATAGTAGTATACCAGATTAAAATCAATTGAATCATGAAAAATACTTATTTCAACATTTAGCATATGAGGAGTTAACTCCTGAAGTCACAACATTATATATTAAATCATTTATTTTGTTTACAGAGTGAAGTCAGTTGATATTAGATTAGAAGCCTCTCATTTCACCTGTTGCTTGTTATCATTGAGTAATGACAGTCCTTCCCTCAGAGATGCTAATTGGGATTCCAGGTCAGCTGGAATGGTTTTCTTAAAATAATTATCAGTTTCAATGGGTAAGAAAACACATAATAGTCAAACCTCAGTTGTTTGATTAACAAACTGCCATACTTGGCAGAGAAAAAGCTGTATTTATGCCCACATCAGGAAGATGAAAAACATACTGTTTTTCAATAATATGCCTAGGCAATAGAGAGTTACCTGATTTAAACTGATTAGCTATATGATTATATCAAAATACAGTTTACACTGTATCACTTTTAATTAAAAAAAAGAAAACAGATCAGCTGAAACTCATAGTTGACCTTGTTTTACATTCCTGTTTAAAGTTTAAATTTATCTCCTTTATCATGATCATGTTGACGTTTACAATGGAAAACAGAGTACAACAATAACACACACAAAAAAGAAAACATCAACAACTGCTGCAACAGCCACAAAGTTTAAGGAAATGACCTTCAAGGGAAATCTTATCTTCCCTTCAAGTAAAAGCTTCTCGATGCATTGGATTTCCAGCATTTAATAATTTACCCAGCCCTTGGTCAAACCACAGGCAAATTTACCTCCTCTTTCCATTTATTTATAGCATCAAGTCCATCTTTCAACAGCTTCAGTTGATCCAGAATATCATCTGGAACATCTAGGGTTAAGGAGAAAAACAAACATTACCTGATCGAATTAATGGGTGTCAAAAGCAGCTATGTTAAAATCTTTATAATTGTTTTTAGGGGTAATTCAAAGTTGAATACTTCCCCTAAACAAAAGTATGTGGTGTAATCCAGATAAAACTTTCCTTCATTTGATATATTAAAGTTCCTAAGGCAACCAGATGGAAATATAAGTTTTGGATATCCTATAGGTAAAGGGCTATACCAAAACTTTTTTCCATAATGGCCAGAAACCAGTAACACTACTGGTTTTGCTGTTATTCCTTACATTTGGGGTGTTACAGAACCCATCAAGAGAATTTTGAATAGCCACAACGTTAAAGTTGCTCAAAAACCTTTTCAGACTGTAGGGCATATTTTTGCTAAAGCTAAGGGTCCTGTCACAAAAGAACAATGGACCAACACTGTTTATTCTATTCCATGCAATGACTGTGATCACAAGTATATCAGACTGACCAAACATCGGTTTGGTACACATTAGAAAGAGCATCAAAAAGTGGTCTTCTTTTGCAAAAAAGAAAATTCAGCTTCGTTGCAGCACACATGCCTAACTACCCATACAATTGCATGGGATAAGTCTTAAATTATCACCACTAATTGACATAACCACCAGTGCCTTTGTTTGGAAGCCTGGCATATCAACTCCCTCCAAACTACTTTAAATCATGATGATGGAAGCTTACTACCTGACACCTATTTACACATCGTCAGGAAAAAAGGCAGCATATTAGTGAGCAATATAAAAGGACCTCTTGTTGCAGCAATTAGATCACACCTGATAAAGGCACTAGAAAGGAGTGGGTTGGGGTTGGATCTATGAGTTGTAACTTCTCAGTGATATTCATTAAATCTTTAAACCAGAGTAGGATCAAACCATGTCTAATTTTTCTGTGCCTCCTAAGAAGAACTTGGCATTTCTACTATTGTCATCAAATTGAAAAAAATTTAACTTAAACTTTATATACACCACCATATCACATCTCATCTGGCAACATGGCCATGTGGTTTTGCAGGTTGCTAAGTTGTTTTCAGACTGACAACAATTATCATGAAAAAATTCAGGACATAGTTGAAGGCATATTTTAGATGGTTGGGTTACCTGGTGGAATCTCAAACCACAATAAGTTGTAATGTTTTACACACACTACTTAATGGTTGAGATAAAAATTACATGGTCTTAGGAGCAAAGTATCCCTTTAAAAATAGTTTGTCAGGGTACACAATTACCAACAGCAAGGATATACCAAACACAAACAAAGATTGCATTAGAAAAATAATCACACCATGTCAAATGACAAAATCTAAGAACTGCAGCTGAATTTTGTAAAATGTACAAAACAGATAGTAGCTCTTTGATTTGTTCTTGGGTTGCTTTTACATGTAATCTATCCGACACTGTACATGTATCCTGCTGGCTATCAGAGATTGCTGGCCAATCTTACCAGGTCTTTTTCTCAGTTCATCCAAATCCTCAAGGTTAGCCTTTTTAGGCATTTGTTCCTACAAAGAATTTTTATAAATTAACAAAATGACTGCAAAGACACATGCATGCTTAAGTTTATTTTGGTTATATGTATGTAGCGAAACATGTGCCAAGCACAGCACTATCTACTATATCTACCTGGTAAGTAGATACATTTACCAAAAGAACACCAAAGACAGTCTCAATGTCATTCCTCCAGATACAATGTACTCATTGTAAAATGAACCTTAATTCAGCTGTTACAAAAATTTGGCATCTTTGTGAACCAAAACCTGTATCATAAATGGACACTTAAAGAGGTTTTACCATATGTCTTTCATAGTCACTTTATATTGTTTTCATTTTTGATGTGACAACTGATCCACTCAACAGGTCTAAACAATTTGCTGAACATGTTGAATTCTTTCTGGCATGGAATAATCAAACTAGTTCAGATACAGTACATCACCGTATGCATGCATACAGTGATGTATCTGATCTGGTATTTTGAGGGCATTTACATCTACTTTAGTGGTAGCAAAATAAGAACTAAGTTGATAAATAATCAAACATATGATAAATCAAAGAAGTCAATTTTATAGTTTAGAAACGCTTCCCAACAATGGGAAATTATTTAAGACAAAATGCTGAAGCTCAAATTCAAGGAAGTGGGTGGTTGACTCAATGTCTGAACTTTTGTGGTTTGTTAACATCAAAAGTCAGGTGACACTACACATGAAATCTAATACTGAAAAGATGAGTTGGTTCCTCACACTTTTTCAGCAGGTTAACAGAGAGCCTGACCACCAAATGGATGAAAATTTCTTCAGGAGGGTTCAATAAACACCAGGTACTATTACAACATAGATTGCCTTATGGAAAAGTTATTAAAACCCTTGTTTATCGCACACAGGTGTAATAATAAATAATGACATTGTACATCTTAAGATAACAAATAAATTATCAAGTGTAAAGATCAATTAAAATAATTTTAATCAGGATGTTACACCTATCTAACTAACATATGCTACATGTACAGTGTATGACTGTATAAAATCTTTATAAAAGAACATTTTCTACTATACCTCTAGAACATCCACTTGTTCAATAAGAACTTCATGTTTATCCATTAGCTCCCCTATTTGCCTTAATGCTTCCAGTGCCTCAGGGGAAGGGTGAGGAGGACTGGGCGTTCTTGGTGGTGGTGGAGTGGGGGTTCTTGGTTTAGGGGTTGAAGCTCTGGACTTTGCAGATGGAGTGCGACTCCTCCTTGCATTTAAGGCTTCTTCAAGCTGTGGCCATTTGACATAAATATCCAGATTGTTGAGATCATCCATGGTGGGAAGTCCATCTACTTGTTTCTTCAGGTGTTGCTGAAAGCCAAATGTTCTCGTGAACAAATATGTTAGGTTAAAGCACTGTATTTACACTATTGCATTGCAAGGGTACACTGCATAGAAAGGGAATGAATAACTGTGTATGTCACAATTTATTGATCATAAAGAAAAATCTAAGAGTCTAAATTACAAGGACCAAATTAATAATTTCCTTTGGGTAACTTCTAAAAATAGAATTTAAGTTCACTCTATACATAGTTTTTTTTAAATGTAAATAAATGTATGAATAAATAGACAACTAAAAACAGGTCTAACAAAGTGGGTGTACTGAAACATTGTTGATGCTATTCTATTAATGCTGCTTCAAAGAGTGATAGAATTAGCTACCAGCACATGCTGTAGCAGCTTGAAACAAACTCATCTACATCAGCATTTTAAGTTGAGAAACATTGTCATAAAACGTATTAATTTTGTAAATACTTTGGGAAAATTTTGACAATTATGCAGGACAATTTGAGACCATCCCTTAATTGTTATGTGACATTGATTGAATGATTTGTATTCAGTTTTATTGTTGGCTCACTAATATACATAGTTTCAATACGCCATTTCACAGTTGTGTACTTAGTTGCCACGTCTTTGAGTTGGAGTGAGGCTGAAGGTGACCATGTTGTGATAGAGACCAGTATCTAGTTACCATGATAACAACATAATTTGCATTTGAAAAGCAGCAAGGTTTGTATCATAACAGGGTCAACCTTAGTCTCACTCCTGTTCAAAGGTTTAGCAACCTGAAGCACACAACTTTAAAACAAACTATTATTCAGATTCTTGATTACCAAGACTATTCAGCCCTGAGTCCCCTCAAGTTCAGATAATCAAAGTTTGACAGTAGGTAAAATACTTAGGTTATCCCATTGCATTTAAGCACATGAAGATTAGGTACATGCACTTACATGTAGTATATTACTTGATTTTAACTTTCTTTTGATAATGGTTTGTACTAAGTACAGAGAACAATGTAAGATAAGTGGACTGTTAATTGTCCCAAAACTGTCCTGCTATGAAACAGGGTGATCATTCTTAAATGTGGGTTTCCTTACCATCTCCTTTAGCAAATCTTCCATTTTCTTTCTTTCTTCAGAGTTGTCTGCAAAATGCAGTAAGAAACAAAACATGAATCATTAAATTTAAAATTTCTGATGACCTTCTACTAAAGTAGAATAATTTTATAAAAGGGTAAAAGTTAACAGTCAGAAAGACTAAGAAATATGACAAACATCTGGTGAATATTTTCCTTACCTACACTCTCCAATGCTGAAATTCTTTCACTTAAACTTGAATTCAGTTTCTCCAACTACACTCAAAAATGGCCAAAAAAATGTCACAAATAAGGGTTTGTTAGCTTTCTGATGAGAAACCTACTGGGTAAATGAGTGCTTGATTAGCTAAATCCAAAGGCAATTTACTTAATAGATAGAAAAATGATTCCACATTTAATGCACCAAAAACAAAAACAAATTTTAAAGAAACAAGTTACATGATTGTACGTTTTAACTCACATGACAAATTAACTTACTAAAGGAGAGCCAACTTACATTTTACCTCCATTTTTAAATTGCAAGCATTAAATACCAAAATTGAACAGCATACATGTACATGTTGTGGTTTGAATAGCTGATTTTCAAGTCAAAATTATTTCAAACTACCTGTAGTTTTTTTTTGTTTTTCCTTTGTTCTAGTTAAATCACCATCATCAAATAATTTACCAGCTCGAAATCATACTACGAGTAATCTGGAATCAATTTCAACTACAACATATACACAGTGCATATTTAATAGTGAAGCCTTAATTTGTACATAAAGAAGTGTATAAAAAATACTCACATCTGGAATGTAATACATAGCTGGCCTCATTAGTTTCAAAAAACAACCTGAGCCAGTACAGTTATTCAATTCAGAGTCAATGTCAGGGAAAACTAACTGAAAACAAGGCAGTCATTGTATATTCCAATGTACAGCCATTTAGGGGACTCTCAGGTACTCAAGTCAAGCCTCTCTATTGCTGAGTTTGAAATAATTATCATACATTCAAGGTTCCAATTAGAGTAACATTGTGTCAGTTAAAAACATTACTGTCAAACAAAAAAATCCAATCATACCTCTGTAAACTTATTCTTTAAATCATCAATTTCTGCTGCAGTTTCCTTGACTTCACTCACTTCTTTCATCATAGTGTCTAAAAGGCTGGTAAGCTATCAAAGAAATGTTTATTTGTTCAGGTTGTGTCTATGATTAGTTGCAGTTTATGATAAAAAAAATAAATAAATAAAAGCTTCAACATAATAGAATAATCAATTAATAATAGTTAGTGTTTACATAAGAAGGGGTGTTAATAAGTGAGTAAAGTAAAGTATCAAAAGAATATATTACATAATGGCACCATGAATAGAAAATATACCCCAAAAGAGCACCCTTTTGAAAAAATTAGCTTGACTATGTTCCACAGTTCATGAAACAGTACAACAATTTTTACTCAAGACATAAAAAAGAAAAAGAAATCAACTTTTCAGTGTTTATTAGTGTTCCTTCCCTGTGAATCCTAAAAACTGGTTAACATGAAATGAAAACTTAGACATACTATGTTTACATCTTGTCACATTTGTTTTGGTTTCCTTCCAACACTCCTTAATACTTTGGAATTTCAGAGGGCCACTGAATTACTATAATGCAGTCCATTCATCTTTTCAGTCAATCCTTATATTATTGATGTTATTGACAATAATCTCTGTCACTAATTCTATTGTAATAATGTAGAACTGGAAACTGCTCACTATTTTTATGGACCTAATTGCCCATGATTCATATTTTTTTCACATTCACCTGATTGAAAACCACAGCTAAAATTATAAACAGTAGATAATATTACAATAACAACATGAATAATAATAGAAGCTTTAATATAATGAGAAGCAGATAGGACCAAATGTTTGAAAAGAATTAATACTTTTCAGTTTTGTAAATAAAAAGTTCAATATAAAACCCTCTCTTCAACCCTTGCTAAAGTAACAAACCTCAATTAACCACTCTACTTAACTGAATACATTTTGTGATAACAAATGAAAAACAACTGTATCACTTTAAAAAACTACGTATTAATTCTTAGGAGTTTCAGAGTTTCAATTATGTTAACATTACATACAAATGCATTTCAATTTCCATTCTCCGAGAAAAGTACGGTTAATGATCGTTTCGTATTTTCACATTAAGATCGATCAGAAGAAACATTTTCCTTAATTTTACTTGCAAAGACTACACGATCTTGTTTAATTATTAACCCCAGTAAAGTTTGCATTATCAATTATAAATGATTCTATGTGTACGAATGGTTATGTAAACAAATCATGTCTAACTTGATCAGGTGACTACGCCACATCTTTAGTACACTTATCCGACTTGGAAAAAGTTCACTTCAAGGAGTTCGCGTGATTATATTAAGAGTAATAAAATTGATTTGTGGAATAACAAAACACTTAAGAGTAGTTCGGAAACCCTTAATTACTGATAGATTTCACAGTTCAAAGCCCAAACTGTAAGTCAATATTGCCACTCACCTTTTCAATGCCAGTTTCGGTGGCACCAAGTCTTCTGTTTATGTTTATAAACTGCCACATATCACCGACGGGCGTTCTACCTTCCTTCTTTTGCTTAGAACGTTGAAGAATTTCGGTGTCACTTGGCAAATCGTCCAATACGTCCAACCTTTTTTCGATACTTGCTACTTTAGACTCCAAATTACTCTGAAATGGTGGAGATGATACGGCAACAGGGAAAGGTGTTTTATCGGTATTTCCTCTCTCTCCAGTAGAGCGTTCGACATCTTCGCCTTTTTCTCCACTTTGAAAACTTTCTTGATTGGTTTTAAGCAGTGCAAATGCCGCTTTAAAATGCCCATTATCTACGATATCTTTCGCTTTCTTTTCAATACCTAAATGATTGAGAATCTCTCGTATTACTCCATGAAGAATATTGAAGTTTACTGCTCCGAGTTCGGGAGTGCCCAAGGAGAGATTCAGCAGTTGATCCAATTCCACTCTTATCGCCATGGCATCAGTAGTATTTCAGATGTGGTGCACGCCAGAAGTGGCTAATCATAACGTGTGGATGAATAGTTTACGAGCGCCATAATACCGTGCTCAGGTTGCTACAGGCAACGCAAAGAATAAAACGTACTTTTAAATATTCATAACAAACATGGCGGAACCGAGACGAAAAATCCCATCGACCAATCAGCCTCAGTATTTGTTCTAGATGATTCAACACTGGAATCTTGACTCTGGAACTTTTGACCCACCACCCCTCCCGCCCGCTTTCTCAAAGAAATACTTACTGGATCCATGCCTATGCTTATCCTTGTGCTTGAGTGCCAGTGAGGACCTGGTCTTCTTCGCAGCCGTTCTTTGGGATGTCACGCAACGCTTCCCTTCCCTAACAGAGAGCGTTGCGTGACATACTAAAGAACGACTGAGAAAGAGACTAATAGTCTAGAAGCCAGGACTAGAAAATTGAGGTTTCGCATAACCTACAAGATAGAGAAGGTTTGATAGTAGATTTTGATAAAAGAAGACCTACCGTTTAACTCTAGGTTGTTTGTAAAGTCAAATTATGATTCAGGTTTTGCGTTAAGAGGGCGTTTTCGTGGACAAACCACTGTTAAAATGAGGCTGACTTTTGAAACGGGGCTGCCATTTTGACTATGTTTTTCACGACTAAACTACTTACGAAAAATCAGTTTCATAACAGGAAGTTTGCTTACTCTCTAAGTCCATGAATCATGTAACGTTACTGGTAACGTGACTCCGAATATGCAAAAAAACTTATAAGAAAGTACAAACATTTTACAAACATTTGCCTATCATCTCAAGGGAGGAACGAACATTTTGGGTAAAAAAAAGATAAAGTTGCACTAAATCATAATGTAAAAAAACAAGAATTGCTTTTTAAAACAAAGTTTAAATAGTTTTTAAAAGTAATCTTCTCGGCATGAAAACAAGGCTGGATAGTGAGTGAACCCTTTTCGCTTTGTTACACCACGAGGTAATTATTGAGAATTATGAAACTGCATGGTAAATCATCAGAGGTTTATCCTTCTTGTTTTGATAGTTTTGAAAAAAAGAGAATTTCCATATCTACATTCGTCGAGTTAATTTTTTTTAAGGAAAAGGATTAATTACTTTAGTAACAATCTGGGACTACACTCATACTTTTGCATTTTGAGTTACATCGCGATGAGTCTCAGACATCTTATTACAATTACTTCATGAAGCAAGTTATAACTTTTGAAAGCTGCCACTTTGGAACACTGTAAATCTATCAAGGCAGAAACTTAAAGTTTCATAGTTCAGTCATCACAGTCAGAATCACTGACATCATCTTCCTCCCATTGTATTCCGTGTGGATTGTAGCATATTTCCTCTGCCATACAAGTGCAGGCCTCGGTGCGGGAAAGACCGATATTAGCGCAGGAACGATGAGTTCATTACTCAGACTGAGATTGAACTGTTGTTGTCACATCCGGTGAGAGCATGAAAGACAGGTAAAGCGGCAAGGACGCTGTCTCCAAGCTTCTGGCAAACATCATGAATTGGTACAAAACGCATTTGATCTTTTACGCCGGTGTAATGCTCGCAAAGTGGACTGCACTCAAAACTAGAACGTCTGTTTCAGATGATTGGGCTCGCAACGTACTTAGCATGAAACAACATCCGGGTATCTGCTTCTTCGTGATTGGATGTAAGATCTACAACATTACCTTGGGAATCTCTCGTGATACCCAGACATCGCCTTCCATCCTTGAATCCTCCTCAGATAATCAGCTTGGTGTTCTCCAGGAATCTTCTTTTGCCAAGACTGCTCATGGCCTTTGATATAAGGTAACACAGGTTCTCCTTATTCTTGGGGATGTTAATGTACTTGGCCTATTGCTGGGGTAATGACGTCCAAGGTCCACCAATGCGTACTTCCAGCGCACTTGATGTGCCTCTCCTTGATCGCTCACCAACTTCGAGCATACTGGTTGAAAACGACGTGAATGCAGTTACACTTGCGGGTGGACAGGAGCGAAGAAAAGATGCTGTAATACTTTGCAGACAACGTAGTAACACCACCAGACCTCGTCATCTGTACAACGGCCATTCCATCCATAATGTATTCTGTGTTCTAAGGAGGTGCCTGAGTCCCCATCTTGGTGGGCGAGTGCACATAGAATGGGTGAAAATTTATAGGTCATAACTTCCATAGGATTTATTTGACACGTACTGGCAACAATTAGTCCCAGTCGGCACTGACTGTAGCGATCCTTCACTTTCGCTTTCTTCGTCATCGAACAATAGGTTTTAATCTTTCACTTAGAAATAGGGTCCCAGAAACTAGCATCATTGGTATTCAATGGCTCCTCTATAAATGCTGTCATCTGCTCTTCACTTTTTCTTCGACAAGCGAGAAGACATTCTGTGTTATAAATTCTGTGTTCTTGTTATAAAACAACGCCGGTAACAACATTTAAAGGGGACTGTACTTCTTCTAGATTAAAGGGGTCACTAATCAGACCTGATGAAAAACAACTCGTCAGCTTCCTTACATCCTCTTCGTCTCGCTGTACACTATGTGGAGATTCCTACTATGCCCCCCTTTGACTTCGAATCCACGTTCTACGTTGATAGATTACTCGAGAGCCATATCTATGGCGACTTGTGAGAAAGGCTGACAAGTGCGGTTTATGGCAAAGTTTCCTGCGGCAAACTCTTCGTACACTTTGGGGTACAGGGACCTTAGTTGACGCATGTCTGCAATATACACTGGTAGCCACCGCGCGGAGTTCTGTCTGTCCATCGAAATAAAATGCGGGGACTCTGTTCTAGCTTGCGATTTAAAATACCCAAACAGCGTGGTTAACTCATGCATCACCTTCCAGTTGCGCTACTCTCTCAGGCAGTTGGCTTTTCTTCTTAACGCAGTTAACTCTTAACTAAGTTAACTCTTCAGAATATGAATGTCCTTGGCAAGGAAAAGGTTCCAGACAGGTACTGCATATTCCAAGATCTGAGATACAAGAGACATACACAACATGGAAAAAACCTTTTGTGTAAGAGCACTTTGTTCGCAGTCGTGCTAACGTGATTTCCCCGTGAGAGGTCCTTTACTAATATCGTTACACTGAGATCCGTGAAGGTGTCCACGTCTTTCAGAGATTTACTTAAAGTATAATCGGTTGTAGAGTTATCTCTTAAATGAGTGATGCGCATAGATTCACACTTTTCTGCATTAACACGTAGTTGCCATTTACGAGCCCATTCCATGATACTGGTAAGGTCCACTTTGGGGAACTGAGGATCCATGATGGGGTCAATTATATCTCTGTAAAATCTTATACAGAGCTGGATCATAAGATCTTATTTGCGTACGTGTCAAGATATGCATTTAGTTGATGACATCTGGAAAAGGCTGCAGTCAACGAGATATAATGAAAAATGGCACGTCTCGGAGACGGATATTGGTCTTCATTAGCATACACGTAGGAAATTTCCTTCTTCGGTGATATGCGAATAATCGAATGTTGTCCAAAATTGATGGATAAATGGAGCATTTTGGTGAAATGTCAGATCTCACTCACATAGGACCTCAGATAGGACCTCACTAGCATACATCTTCAAAAATCCCTTTTCAATAGAATTGTTAAAACGTTTACCTGAGATGATGTAACATGTATTGGACATCACTGGCACACCTCCTTAGAAATCCTTAAAATGATGTACATTTGAAAAAGTCCATGTTTTGTAGTGGTATCCACTGACATATCTTTACATTTGAGCAATTTGGAGAGAATACTGGACTTCTACAAATAAAACTCCCCTTTTGGCGGAGGCTTGGAAATATCCACGTTTTCGGCAACATGCCGTGAAATACCGTTACGTTTGGAGCAATTCGGAGACATATTGAACCTTATTCGCATACAGATATCAAAATAAAGCTTCTTCGATAGGCTAGAAGTCCATTCTTTTTTTTATGTTTGGTAAACTGATTGAATTTTTGAAGGGCTCAGTGACATACAGCATCTCGTACACATACATGAAATTGCCTTTTCCGATAATATGCTGCACTGAACGATCCAAACTTTGTTTCTTTTCTTCGTATTTTAGGTTTGACTTTTGAAGAAACGAACTTTTAAGCGCGACATATATTTTTGTTGGTCATAAAGAACACTTTAATGGTTTCGTTCATTTTGTTCTCGTCTTTCGCGAACTACTTATGTGATCGATAAGATGCACAGATAGGGCCGTAGGATATATTTCGCAAACTAAAATGAAAATACTAAAAATAATAGTGGAATTATTAACAATTATTCACCGAAGTGGAGATGAATATTACTTGCTGTTCACGTCCGAGCTTGCCAGTCAGCGCGCACGAAATGCTCTATTTACAGGTGTGGTATAGACTAATAAATAATAGTGGAATAATAAATCCCTTACTCGATGGTTTAACGTCTGAAACGAGAGAATAATTGTATTTTTTCTGAGCCCCAAAGGGGAAAGGAAAAGTACTACGCATCTCGCAAAATATCCGCGCGTATTATACGCTCTATTATCTGTAGGCAAAAATTTTAGCACGCTCATTGCTTACGTAAAATTGGTTAAAACTCGCACCGTTCTTGCATTTGCATCCAATTCCACTCGCCTTGGAGTTTCCGTTTCTACTGAAATGAAACAACAAACACGCGTTCACGATTGGTTTACAAGCACTTGTACTAAAATTCACATCTACAGGTGTCAGTTTGAGAATCCTGGACACGTTGCACAAGCGTTATTAGTGATTACGAGTCAAATTCCTGTTTCGCAAATTAAGACTCTCACTTTCAGTTTCGCAAATTACAGATTAGAGATTTTCATTTCGCAACTTACAGATTTTGGGTTCACTTCGCAAATTAGAGATTTTCATTTCGCTTCGTTTCATTTCGTTTCGTTTCGTTTCGTAAATTAAAGTAAGCCCTCAACATCTGTTCACACCTTGACCACCTTCAAAACGGCTACAAAAAGCTGAATGAACGGGTTTTGACTAGCAAAATGAGGACGGTACTTGTGGTTATAAGTACAATGCCCAGTTACTAAGTCTCCAGAAGGTCCTTTAAAACTAAACTTATCTCTTCTCTTTCTTCTGTTAGGGTGTTTCGTTTAAAAAAAGCTTCTGCTTCTTGCAGATTGGGTAAATTCTTTCCTTTCTCCGCCGCCATTTTGAATAAAATTGGTCTTGAACCTAGAGTTCAAATATTTTCGAAAAACCTCGGTCACTTGTGATGAAGATCTTTACTTTATTTTGTTCTAAGAATGATCAATACAGGCATTCGACAAAATCAATAGAAATGATTAATATAATCATTTTTGG